ATCCCCACGGGGAGCTCGTTCCAGAGGGTCGGAGCTGCCACTGAAAAGGCTCTCCTCCGCGTAGTAGCGGAGGATGGTTATGGGTTAGAATATGGACCATGCGCAAGCATAATATGCTGGTTATTGGATCGCATTCCCTAATCAGCTTTTTCTATTTGATTTTTCTTATTTCCAGGTTATTTCCTGACAGAACCCAACAATCAGTATCTCCCAAGGCCGGATGCCAAAGGCACCGTCACTCAGTGGCCTTACCTCTATGAAAGGAGAGAGTCTGCCAGCTGCGAGAACACAGAACACCTTCAACGGAGTGAAATTGAGGTTTCTGAGCAAAGGAGAGAAGGGGAATCCACCCTTAGAAAATCTCTGGATGCATTCTACAGGACTTTGTGCCAGAAGAAGCCCTCTGGAGGGAGTCCAAGATATGAATCAACTTCACAGTGTCTGTCCCTTAAGACTGCAGATCTTGCAGGCAAGGAGGGAATGAAATTTATAGTGAAGAATCTCCAAATCGCTCAACTGGTTTTGAACAGAGAGGAGAATAAAATCTTTCCCCAGCCTCCCGGCAACCACTTCTGCCTTTTGACTCCCGTCAGTGCCGATGCTAATTCAGAGAAAGGAAAAGCAATCCCTGGACTCTCAGACGATGTCTTTCGATTTATCTTAAAACAGAATGCACTGAAATGATGCCGGGCCTGAGCGTATTTCTAAAATCCAAGAATTGATAAGATTTCTTTAGCTAGGGAATGAATTGTTAATAACAACTTGATAGAACCAAGAATATAAAGAAGGCGCATGATTGAATTGCGCATAAAGGCACATAAAGCAATTGCTCTTAATTATTACTTATGTCAGTGATTGGAGAGTACATTTTCTGTACGCAAAAAAAAAAAGCTTGAGACTCAGGCTTGATTATGTCCAATATTAATAATTCCTTTTCTTCTAAGAATAGAATTGGATTTGAAAATGTTCTGTTTGAAAACTAGCAGGCTTTCAGGTTAAAATATAAAGCTAGAAATAATTGCTTCTACTTCTAAATGAATTCATGAGAGGAGATAAGCTTTGCAAAGAATAGCCTTGTTGTAATGGAGACACCAGCAATATATGGTATAAACTGTTGATACGGTTCCTTATGATCCTAAATGTAATCCTCCGTATTATCCTATGTTGCTTTGACTAATAGGAGTCAAAATTCACATCTATAAGGTGACAGGTTGCTCTCCTTGCGCTAATAGGGTTCCACCACAAATGCGCGCACAACAAAAGCGCGCCTGACTAAACCGCAGTGTCTAAAGCGCGGTGACAAAACCGCGCGACTAATTAGCGACTAATTACCCCTAAAGCGCGCCAACAAAAGCGTGCCGACAGAAGTGCGCTGTAACGTAACCCTCAACCTAACCCTAAACCTAACCCTAAACCTAACCCTAAACCTAACTGTAAATCTTACTTTAAATGAAATCGCGCTTCTGTCGGCGCGCTGTTGTTGGTGCGCTTTTGAAATCACGGTTTTAGCGCTGCGGTGTTGTCGGCGTGCTTATGATGTTCGCGCTTTTGACGGGTCATGGCTAATAGATTAACCTGCTAACCTCCCCATCTTGGAACACTTCATGTTTTGTAATTTTATTGTAATTACTTTTGTAATGTAATTTTATTGTTTTATATTTTTTTAAAAAAATTCAATCTTAATTTATTTTGTTTCTAATGCTTAACTTTATTGATTAAACTGTACACTTCTCAAAGCTCCTTGCTAAAGGTGAGGGAGATGGGCAGTTAAGAACTGTGAAATATAAATAAATAAACCTAATTCATGTTTTGGAATGTATGCATAGAAAGAGATTTCTCCCCCTGAGAAAATAATTGATCTTGCTATTTTAAAATATGCTGCTTGAATACCGAGTTCCACATTTCAAGCATGCATCAGCTAACATGATATGAATTGAAGATATTATATTCCCTTCGCCTTTACACACGTAGCAGACAGTGTAAATATGCTGATGAAACCACACAATGTAAGATCCAGGGAATGGCCCATGGAAAGATGCTTCTAGGTATTTGTATGTATAAGATCTTGTTGAATCTGATACATTCAAGAACACCTCATTAAAAGGAACCCAGTGATGGCTAACCTTTTTCTAAAGGCGTACCAAAATTGTGTGTGCACGCGCTATTGTGCACACAGATATGCCCCACCTACCTGCACATGCGTGCGTGATACCCCATGTGGGGGGATTCACCCTCCTCAGGCTCCGGAGGCTTTCCTGAAGCCTGGGGAGGGCAAAAACGGCCTCCCCCGCCGCCCGTGAGGCCCTCCGGAAGGCGGAAACAGATTGTTTCCGAACTTCGGGTTGGACAGTTCCCCCACCCCACCCCAGACTCTGAAAGCTTTTCTGAAGCCTAGGGAGGGCGAAAACAGCTTCACCCAGCCCTCTGGAAGGCCGAAAATCAGTTGGCTGCCGCGCGCATGTGTGCTGGAGCTGAAGGCTACTGTGTCACCAAATATGACTCCACGTGCCGCCTTTGCCACAAGTACCATAGGTTCGCCATCTCAGACTTCCACTGATATAGTTCCACTGAATGGCCTACACTAGGCTTTTGGCCCTTCATTATTCCATAACTTTATTGATAAAATTAGGTCTAAATTAGAACCTGTGACAGCCTATTATGAGGGCAAAAAGGAAAGGTTTTTTTTTTTTTAGTGAAGTATCTTGAGGCTATTTACCTGAACAATTTTAACCCAATAGATTTCTATCAATATAACATGCCTTTGAAAGTTATTTTGGCTGTTGGGTTTCAGTGTAATTCTGTTTGTTTTGGGAACTTAGCTTTAAAGAGACAGTGGTATTCTGTTCACTGGCTCATACAAAGAATTTATTTGATGTTTACAATGACAGTTCATTTTTCTTAGGGCTATCATACCTCAGCTTTGTGAATACAGGCAACTTCTAGGAGGAAGATTTTTTGGTATATATGAGGAGGGGAGGTATTTCTTTGCTGGCATGTAGTGGTGTTCTGCTTCTTGCAATCCAGATATGTTAGCTCAAATCAATCCTTCAAGGAGTTTTGACCTAGTTGCCACATGCCTACATCATTTTTTTCAGTATCATTGTAACTTTGGTCACTAAATGAATTGTTGAGTTGAGGTCTACCTGGGGTGAAATGCTACCAGTTTGGACTGGTTCGCTCTAACCGGTAGTAAAAATGCTACTTGTTTGCCCGAACTGGTAGTAAAAGAAAACCAGTTCTAATGAACTGGTTTTCCGACTATCAGCTGTGATGCACGATTTATATTAGCTAGAAAGCGGGACTTCCTGCTTTCTAGCTAATCTAAATCATGTGGCACAATGAATTCCCCCCCCCCTCGCTTCTCTACTTACCTTTGCAGGTATGCTTGGTAGCAGGCTCCACCCAGCTGCCCAGCCATCATCACATCCATTTTTGACGCTCTGCGCATGTGCACACTCACATTGCTACCAAACCGGAGCAAAGGTAAGTGGATTTCACCCCTGGGTCTACTTGTAGTGTAGCTATAGCATCCTTATAATCATATGAGTGTAAGCTATGAAAGGTACACACAGCCAAGTGAACCTTTATTGCCAAATTCCAAAGAAAACAATTATTAAGTATATTATCAGTTAGACATGCTGAACTTTCTGGAGCATTTATTTCAGCACCATTTTAATATTGTTCATTTACTTTCAATTCTCTGTGACTCAATAGATTTATTTTTTTCCAGAATTGCCAGTAACTGCTTCTTTGAATTTTTGTAAGCAGAGATGTCTCTGGCCTTCTTTGTCTTCTATATGGCCTCTTTTTCCATTGCCTTTGTATTTCCAAGCATCAGAACCTTCTCTAGAGTGTGTTGTAGCATTGTTTAATAACTGTGCTTAAAAAAACAGCCAAGATCTTTTCTGCTAGATGGGCAGAATGCAATTCAAAGTGCGGGTGCTTACCTTTCAAAACCCCTTACAATTTAGGGCTTGAGTCAAGGATAACACACAATGACAATTGTGTCCACCAGAAATCTCTTAACTAGGTTATCCTTGTCATGCTTAATAGGTGATGACCGAGAAGAAGTCCTCCTTAGTAGTGAGAATCTGCTGGAGATTTGGATACCGTTCCAATTTCACAGTTCTGAATTCTTGGAAGTCCTCAGCAGTTCAGCCCTTCCCCTATTCTCCAACACTGTGCTGCTTTGTGTAGTAGAACTGAGGTCTTACACTCATTGGGCTCACTTCTTCTGCATTATTAATAGAGAATGGAATACTTTTCCAAATTGGTTTCAATTGTGTTGCAAAAAAAATTAACATCAACTTTTTTTTAAAAACAAACCCCATCAATCTCATGGTATAAACGGCCCTCTGCCTCTTTATAAATATATAGAGAAGTTATGTCAAATCAAATTTATTCAAGATACATAAATCAATAAAACTATTTGTGAAATAAGTTTAGAATAGATATAGAAATATTATTTGTACAGTTATGTTTCAGATAATATCCAGAACAGGAAATACAAAATTGCTTCTTATGCTCAAATTTGCTTATTTTAAGAGTGCATTATATTATGTTGGAGATGATGCAATTTGTCACATATGATGATGTTGTCCTTTTGGTCTCAAACAGAGGACCAAATTCCATTTTCCATTCAGGAATGTACTGTATCAAATTATTTATTACACTAGTAATAACTGAGCCAATCATTGGAAATCATGAGACTTCTCCAAGGAGTTCATACTCGAAAGTATTGGATAGTATCCTGGCAAAATAATATATGCAACGACACAATCAAAAATAAAATCTATCCATTGGGATTCTTTTGAAGAAAACAAAAACCTGTTTTAAAAATCATATAACAAAGCAATACATTACATTTTTATTAGTTCTTCAAATATCTTTTTAGAGATCTAATAAAAAAATAGGGACCTCACATACGGTTTTATGAAGGTAAAATATGTGATTATATGTCTTTTTTCAGGAGTTCTTGGCCCGTTTTCCATCATAGACAAGTTAATTACAAAATGTGTGAGTTGATTTAAATTCTGCTGAAGTTTTAAGGCAGTGATGGCTAACCTTTTTTGGATCGCGTGCCAAAAGCGGGGGGAGCACAGGGGGGTTGTGTACAGGCGTGCCCACACCCGTAATGCTATGCATGCGAACCCCCCCGCCCTTCCTCCCGCTTTTGGCCCATGCTGGACCTATTTTCCGCCCTCCCCAGGCTCCAGAGCTTTCTAGGAGCCTGGGGAGGGTGAAAACAGCCTCCCACACCTCCCCAGGAGGTTCTCCGTAGGCTTCAGGAGGCTCCCTGGAGGCTCTGGAGGACAAAAAACGTCGCTATGGATAAACCGGAAGCCACCATTCCCAAACTTCCAGGTTGCCCATACCTTCAGGAGGCTTCCCTGAAGACTCCGGAGTGTGAAAAATGCCCAATGCACAAACCGGAAGTCCGTTCCCAAACCTACGAATTTGCGCATTGGGTGGTTTTTTGCACTCCAGAGCCTTCAGGGAAGCTTCTGAAGGGTGGAAAAAGGCCAAAAAAGAAGGTCGATCAGTTGGCCAACTCACGCATGCGTGCTGGAGATGACAGGGCAACGCCTCGCTTGCTCTTAACAAATGGCTCTGCATGCCACCTAGGTTCTCCATCGCGGTTCTAAGGTATTCTGTCTCCTAAATTCTTCTACTATCAAATTACCCCTAATCTAGTGGCAGGGCTTCCTTCCTGCACTTAAACTGAAGTTTGAGGAGGGATTTATTTGTTCCTTGTGGTTCCATCCCGTGATTAGATATTCCTGGAGTCACTTTGAAAGTTTAGAAAACAAGCACGCCTCTTGGAAATTTTATACCTATGAATCATCCCTGTAAAAATGTGTTCCTTTTGCTATCAGTGACAAAGCAAAAAGCACTGTCTTAAACTAGAAGAATACAAGAAAACGAAATTAAAATTCTTGCCGTGCAATCCTGGACTTGTTTATTTGTGGGTTAGCACACTGTATTTTAGGTGCATTGTGGATTTTACAACTCATTCACCAGGAAAGCCCATCCAATGTGACTTGAAATATTCAACCTGTCCACTTTGAGGTATATCTCTCTGAATGGAATGGGACATAGCTTTCCCCAACTGGGGGCAAGAGTACAGCTCGTCAAATTACAGCTCACCAAATTCCCAACCAATGGTTGTGGAAGGCTGTTTTAAAGTTTCTAGAGACTGTCCTCTGTCTCTCCTCAAATATCCAACAGATAGCACCAAAAATATTGGTACTCATCCACTTTTTCCCCAAAGACCCTGATTTGCTGGGAAATCAGTTGAAACTGATACAATTAAATAGTCACTATTTGTTATAGCAATAGCAGTTAGACTTATATACCGCTTCATAGGGCTTTCAGCCCTCTCTAAGCGGTTTACAGA